ACTCTGTCACTCACAGTGCGATGAGACGGTAGTCATAAGCGACCGGAAAGAAATCAGGCGCAAGACCAACTTCTGTACATGCTTTCCGAGACACGGTAATGAAAACAGACAACTAGCTGACTCCGGGTTGTTATTGAGAATTGGTCGACAGAAGAACCCAATGACTGATTTTGGCCCGACCCGAGCTTCGAACTCGAGACCTCATGATCAAGAACCGCGTTTACGATCACCAATCCAACGAGCTAGTCATTTAGGCCATAATGTGACCATAACAGTATTATTCATATACCGGGTTATTTAGCAATAACCGGCCAAATTTGCAGAGGAGGTTCAGAATTAGTTATATAGGCAAATGGTGAAGAAAATTAATTTAAAAAATCTCAAACATTTTGTTCTTTTTATCTTTTAAATTTACAGTGTGTGTTAATGCATTATTTTAACTGATTTTACTGCGCACGCACGCATTCGTAAGGGTTAATCGGTAGGCAAAAACGTTGCTCATGGATGACATTTGACAATTTGGAATAATTTAAAATAAAACTAGAAACCTTATTTACTCGTATTTTCAAAGACTGCAATAAGGGATCGTTATTTATATATTTGAACTTAGGTTAATTATTTGGCTACTTTCTGAAAAATAACCCTGTATGATGTAATTTTCATTTTTTTTTAGCAATTCGGTATTAATTTATAGTAACGGACTATGCACAGCTCCATCCATCGGCTCACCCTTTTGTTATAATTTTCCAAATGTTTTATTGCTTGCAGATACTTTATTTCGCTAATTTATTTTGGAAAACTTTAGTATACAGCCGCTAAGTTCAGATCAAATCAGTTCAGTACAATCGCCCACCCTCGCTTTTGCTACTACTCTCTCTACTCTACTTCGGCTGAAGCCTGGTGAGATGTTTCTCTTTACACTTATACCTACCCTCCGTACATCATTGATTTTTAACACACTGATATTAGATAATTATTCATTTCTCAACACATCAAATTATTTGATTCACACTATGTTATTTTAATAAACAAACAATTGGTCATTTTCTTAAATTGAGGATTAAGGTTTGGCGGAGAGATGATAAAAAATAACTTAAAAATCGCAGACTAGATTAATTTTAACATCAATTTTGATCAATCATAAAAATAATTTAATACTAAATATTATCATACAAATAATAAATTGTATCATGTAACATATTTTCCATATTATATAGATAGTTACAAAAGTAGCCAGCATGCAAATGTCTGTTAGTAGATATTTACTATTAATAAAATATAAATATAACAACTTCATAAACTTAAGCTCTTTGGATAGAAACCACAAGTAGTTCAAATTTTAAAAGTAAATCTTTATTTAAAGAACTAATCTACGGTATTTTAAATATCACTTCTACAAAATCTTTATTTACATTTCGTAATAAAACATAATAAAACAAAGAGTTGGATTTAGAATCGTTTGGCAGGAATTTGGAGGAGTAAGATGTTGTATTTAGTAGAGGTTTGGTCACCGATTATAACAATACCACTTAGTGGTTCACTCGCATTAAAAGGTAATGCACTGTTTTCGAGAAAATAAAAAAAACACTTTATAAACTACAACTAAGTAAAACATGGATAAACGAAAGCAACATTACTCTGAAAGCTAGACAGATTTTGTGTAAGTGCGACAAGGACATAAGGCCATGTCAAAGACTAGTGTCACATTATTATACTTCTATGGTATTTTTATTCTTCTGTGGTCTATACTCTCATAATAAATTATGTTTAGAAACAATAAAGAAAATATTATTACATGCTTTACACCCAAAAATACTTTCAATTCAGTTGGGTTACCTTTCATGATGGTGGTGTCGGGGTGTAGGGGATCCCCCACAATCACCCTTCAACCACTCTTGCCAAACGATTCTAAATTTTCACCAAAACAGCAATAAATAATTTTCAAGGGCATCACATTTTATACACTTCCTAATTTAAACAAAGAGAACTAAATGAGCTTTGAATATTTTGGCGATGTCTTTTCAAATTAATAAAAATAACTTTTAACTCAGTATCTTGAATAATCAGTCTTAAATATAATAATGGCTACAAATATATAAAACCATTACCTATGAAAAAGAAAGCAATATGCGATTTACATTTAGAAATCTCGGCAAAAATTTATCGCCTTATTAGCCGCGCGCAGAAAATTTGTCGATGACTACCCCCTACCCCTACCTCTGCGACCGCGTCAAGCAGTCGCCAAGCTGTGCTTTTTTGTTGAATTTATTGCCCTCTCTCCGAAATTATTCATTATTTTCATATTATATTTTTGTTTGTTTAATGTTAATATTATTTTTTTATCAAAATGGGTAAAGGGAAAGCCTAAAAATTTCTAACGTTTTTCGAGAAAGAAAAATAAAAAGCTAGCTATCAATAAATATTCGCAACAATTATTTTTTTTATTAATAATTTTTTCTTTATTGATTTATTCCATTTGCAAGTTTGCAACCAGTATCTTAGTAACATGTATTTTTGTCAACCGTACCAAACATCGACACGTGACATCATAACGTCATCGACAAAATTTCTGCGCGCGGTTAATACTTTTCGACTAGTTAGGCTGGGTTAATCAAAAATGAGTGGTTAATTAGAAAATATATATAAAACACTCATTGCTGTTTACTGTTTAAAAATATTTTAACCTTCCCGTTTCAAGCATTTTTAACTTTTAGACCAATAGTTGTAGAATCATTTTCAATAAGAGTTTATTCCCATGAAGCACCCGATTGCTTTGCAACTACACACTAGCTATTTCGCCTTACTTATTCAATATTATACCTATTTTCAGTACAAATCTTTCTTCAAAACCCCCTTTTATATGTAGCACCTCGATCAGTTCTTTGGTTACCTCCCATTTACGCAACAATAAATGATAGAAATATGTTTAACATTGATTAAAACTACTTTTATGGATTTTATCGCACCCATGGTCACGGCGGACGGGGCAAATAGTTTTAATCAAAGTGTAGTGTTCGCGTAAATATAAGAAATCATTATGTTTGACATATTAGAATATAATTGAGAAACATTACTGGCCATATTATAACCGCTTGTTTTTGCTTTTTAATGGCGTTTACTGCAGATTTGATTTTAAATTGTTATACTGTTAAGTTGTGATAAATAAATTCACGCACAAAATCTGTTCCTTCATTATGTCTCAAAACTCTTCTGGTATTTCCTTAATTCTAAAAGTCCTTGCAAAATTTGCGGGTATTTTACAAAAAATGTATTACAAAACAATACCATGACAATATGTAGAAATATTATTATTATGTAAATATCATTAATTTGATTGAGAACAAAATGTAGCATGGTACATACACTAGATGCATGTTAGGTGCAAAATTACTGTACAATCTTGCCAATAATTTACAAAGAATTCTGAATCTATTCATCCACATATTATTTAAAACTATTGCATTTCGATTATTATTAATTTATGAACCTAAAGCCTAGAAATTATAAATATCGCTTTGTGAGATGACACATATAAATAGGTACATTGTAAAATGTCTTACAAGAAAAAAAACACCACAACAACAATTTTTTTTTTCAATTTGGCTTGACGGGAGTAAGAAGCCTATTTACCTACATTTCACAAATCACACGTAGATAGTACGACATTAAGAAGTGAGCCTTATAACTACATATTCAAATAGGTACATGCTTATAAGCATTTTTTTTTACTTTTTCTATAATATATTATCACATTTATGAGTATATTCTTTAACCTAGATGATGGGTACCTAAGAGCAAATGACATTTTTATCATTTTTTTCCTCACTTAACTATAAAAATCTAACATTTAGCGTTTATTCACAAAAGATGATGAATAGCGTTTGTAATAAGTACTGAAATGTTAAAACAACTCAAAGGTACTATAATAATATATATAATAATAAATATTTAATAAAAAAATTAAACCCAAAAAAAAAACAAAAATCAACCATTACGAATCTTCTCTATATGTTAGATATTTGTTGTTTGCAAAATAATATGTACTAAAATACTAAATAAGTACAAGCGCATATCTATAATAAGGAAATTAATATAAATAAATAAAAAAAAAACTTCTACATATCACACACAAAACCGTTAATTCAAACGGAAAATAAATAATATTTATTGTTCTACGTTACTTTGGTAACAAACGAGATAAAAAAAATTACTGGAATCACAGAATACTAACTAAACAATAATGTTCTTAGTAACAAAATACTAAACAATTATGAGCAAAAAAACAATGAAATATATTTTCCCTTGAAGGGTAACAAAATAAAGCCTTGTACGGACTAAGCGTTACAATAAACGCGTAATCTAGCTATGTTGATTACGCACACAGGGCACCTGTATGCGCTGTAGAAGTAGGAACGCGTCGGCCACCACCAGTCATGTCTCGAAATACAGCTGTCGTGTGCACCACCATTACGACATAACTCATTGTGCAACCAAAAGCCGACTGGCTACGACTCACCGCGAATCGACACGCGTGCTCAAATTGTATACGCGTTGCTGCAGGTACGGACTAAGTGTTTCCGTGTACGTGTAACCGACTACGCGTACGTTGGAACGCGTAGTCAGTTACGCGTACGCGGAAACAGTACGTGTAACCGACTACGCGTTCGTATGTACAAGGCTTAATGTCTTTATATTGCAAAGAAATACAATTTGTGCATTCATAAAAATGACAATAGCAGTGACATTTATTTTCTTCTGTCAAAATGACACAATACAATACACAAGTCTTGAAGCCAAGCGGATAACCCTAACGTTTGCGCAATTTCGACAGGAGAAACGGTTGACAAGTTTTTTTCTTGAAGATATCGCTTATAAATAACAGATAAAAATTGAATATTTTTTTAAATTTTTCTTAATAGGAACTGCGTTCGAACTACACTTAGCGTTAATGATTTTTAAATTCGTTTATCGGTCTTATTTGCTTTTTGAAAGCTTTACAATTATATATCGTAAGACGACGCTAGCGAAGCCGGAGGTTGAGCGTTCACCGTCACTTTTGGGGATCGCTCATATTTAGATTTGTCAACGGGACTTGAATTTGGAGTGAGTGCAAAGTGCCTGACGCCTTGGTTTTGATTTGCAGCTATAAGGTTAAGGCTAGTTAGATTATGTTTGGGGACAGTAAACGAGTGCAAATCTTTAGTTTTGAGGCTGTCGTATATACGGACAAGTTTGTTCGTGTCTATCCCGTCTATGATGTTGAGAGAGCGACTCTGTGCTGGAGAAGCCGTGACAACTAATCCAGGCATCTTTGTTGCGTGAAGGCGTCCTGTGTCGGGCGTATGGGGTGTTGGCAGTGTAGGGGGAGTGGGAGGGTGGGCGGCGGACGTCGATGGTTGACTAGTGGCGATATGCTGAGTTATCGAGTGACTTTTAAGCCCTTGAGCCGTCTTGTAGCTTTTGCCGCATTGGCACTTGTAAGCCTTTTTTACCCTGAAAACGTCAAAGGCAACACAAATTTAACGATTTTATAAATAACACTAATTATACTTTTATTACATAAAAAACTTAAACCGTAATAATAATTATAATAAAAGGAGGTATTAAATACCTACTAAACGCTAATCTAAAACGGAATTATCTATTTGTTATTTACTGTTACTTCTAATACCATAATTTATGTAATACAGTCTAATATTTTTTTTTAATTATCTAAATAAATAAATATCTTGTTTAAACTAGTGTCATAAGTATCGAAATGAAACTAAAACATTATCACACATTATAAATAATCTAAGTCTTCAGAAATTGATGCATCACATAGCGTGTATTCATAATTTCGTCGTAATTTAAGAGTTAATTTTACTAAGGTAACTGAAATAAGCATAACAACGGTCTGTGAGGCATCCATTTTAGTACTCAGAGGTGACAAACAAAGAGTTCAACTATACTAATGAGAAGATACTGATAACGCATCTGTATCCTTCCTCATTTGAAATTGGTTTTGGCTGCAGACGCCGCCTAACCATCAGGTAGACTATAAGTCCGTTTGTCACGCAAACTAAAAATACTACTATTCATTAAAGATGTCTATAGTTATTTCGCTCTATCCGCTCAAACGTACGTTACACTAAAGTTGTGAAATTACACATTTATATGTAATGGACGTCGGGCATTGGCGAGATTCGTGCGATGCACCCCGCAGTGAGCGAGACTACTCGTCCCCCACTCATCTGCTTCACCCCCTCTAATACACAAAAGTCGTCTATTCACCGCGTCTTAAACTGATGTGTCTTAACTAGTTTGAAGAGCACCTCCCGTCCTCCTTCAATTGCGTGCACTAATCCCAGCACCACTACTCCCAACACCACTACTCTAGGAAATGACGACTCCGTGGCGTAGTGGCTTAGCAATGAGTGGCTGCGCTGGGGGTCACGGGTTCGAATCCTGCACGGAACAAGTATTTGTATGAACTAGAAATAATTGTTCCGGGTCTGGTTGTTTGTCCTTTATGTTTGTAAACTGCCTCCACGATACAGGAGAAAATCCTAGTGTAAGGGTAACGCTTAAAAAAAAAGGAAAGACACACCATCGACGATAATACGATACGTGTTTCGCCTCTACGTCGATGGTGTGTCTTTCCTAGAGTAATGGTACTGGGATTAGTGGTGACGGAATTAGTGCACGCAATTGAGGGAGGGCGGGAAGTGCTCTTCAAACTAGGTAAGACACATCATTTTAATTTATTGAGCAGATGGTTGTGAAATAACTCTTGACATCTCAAAGTAACGCCTGATTCTATTAATTACTACTATTCATATAATTCTAATCGTTCCGTACAATTTTTTTTATAATTAAGTAACCAATATGTCCGACACTAAAATGAAAATGTGTACCCATTTCTTCCAGAAATACTGTTGCGCTGTTAAACGTTTCTTTGGTCTGGGAAGCTTCTGCCTGTATTGATCGGAGTGAGGCAATACTGGATATTTTCTATTTCAAATAAATGATTTAGGAAATGCAATTTTTTTAGATTTTTTTTTAGTTATTATTAATTTACTTGTTATAAAGATATAATTTTAACAACAAGACAATCAGAAAATTTAGCCTTACATCCGTATAATAATTTTGTTCACGAAATTTAAAAAATCATATTTCTACTACATCCTTTCCATAAGCCCAATGGTTAAAACGGTAATTTAAAAACTGGACTGCGTAAAAATTTTGACTAAAAAGGAAATAATTTTATACCCAATGTCACAATCACAATTTAGATGAATCTAAATCAAACCGCTTAGGCTACAGAGCATGCCAATGAATTACACACATAGTATTTTTTTCTTTTTTTATAGAATAGGGTGGCAAACGAGCACACAGTCCACCTGATGGTAAGTGGATGCTGTGGCCCATAGACATCTACATTTATCTTCGATTAAGAAAAAAATGCAAATGCGTTGTCATCCGTGAGGACTAAGATGAAATGCCTAGTTTCCAGTAAAAATGGTCTCCGGTTCTCTACACTCACCATACGAAACACAGCAGCATTGAGCTACTATTTTTCGTTGGCACTATGTGAGAGCATAATCATACCCCGGTCGAGCCGACCCATTCGTGCTATACAACTTTTATGCAGCTTTTTTATACAACTATAATATTATAGTTGCAGCGTGGCTCAACCAACGCGCTTAGATACGATCGCCTTTGTGACTTTGTATTTGCACATCCTTGGCACGTGTCGCATCTTGTCAAAGTCGTACACCCGCAGGTGAATTTAGCATTTAAAATGAAAGGTTGGTAAAAGGTTCTTTGATAACTAACTTGTTTTTTTATATTCGTATTTTATTACAATAACCATAAGAATAAAATAGTATTCTGTTTTATTCTTAGAATAGAAAAACATTTATTTAACCAGCACAATAAAATATAATAACATAAAAGCAAAATGACAAGTGTACCTCCGGGTATACCGACACTATCTTAGTGAACAGATTATCTAAATTAATCAATACATATATACTCGAAAAATACAACACCTCTCCTGGAGCAATCGGAAAAAAATAAAATTTAGTCCTAACTTCATAGGCTACCCAAAAGTATACGTATCTCTGTACACTGCACTGAGTCCTTTTATATAATAAACTAGGTTGCCAGGCAGACGTTGTTCTGCTCTTTTCGACAACCCTTTGTCATTTCCTATTGAAAATACTTAAATTTTCAAAAAAAAAACTCATGGCCAAAAAAAGCTATCCTATCACTCAAGTTGGACCAAAGTGCACACGGTGTGCAAATTTGATTAAAATCGGTTAAGTAGTTTAGGAATCTATCGCGGACAAACAAAGTGACACGTAATTTATATATTTATATTAAGATTACAAAATTACTATGTATTATTCACGTATTCCTAGAGGTTATCGCCATTATTAATCCCTAAGCAGTTAGCACCAGGACATTTAGTCCTGTTTCAAACCGAGAGGATTGCCGTAATCAGTTAGCAGGTGAATTGGCAGTCACAATACCAGTTTTCTCTTTTAACACTGTCGCCTCCCAGTCGCCCTAGGTATTTTACATTTATTATACCACCATGACTTGCCATCTTAGTCCTTAGGGGTGACAACGAATACTGCATTTTAATTCTTAATCGTTTATGGACCACAGCATCCACTTAAGATCAGATGGACAGTGTGCTCTTTATTCTACAAAAAATAATCAACATTGTGTACTCACTTGCCCTCCTTTTTGTGGCCGTTTTTAGAGTGGTATTTGATGCCGTTGACATTCTTGTAACGTTTTTTGCAGCCGGGCACTGGACATGCGAAAGGTTTCTCCTGAGCTGCGGGGCCTAAAGCTCCCGACGCGGCATTAGCGTTCATTCTGAAATTGAAATAACACATGGGTTTTACTACATTGATGGTTATGATACTTATCCTCCTTATCGATATTGAATATTTCAGAGTTAAAAGAAAGTTCTCTTATATTGGTACAAAGCATAGCCTAATTAACCCTTGCGTCCATTAACTTACTATAGTATGTGCCAAATCGATTGAGAAAAACGGACAATGACCTTTCGGCCGTTTAACTAGGGGTTACAAACCTTCAATTTACAGGCACATTTTATATGTTTCTTTATTTATAATGATATTTTTTATAATGATTGATATAATATATATTTATTAACTATTATTAAAAAGTTATATAAAAGATCGCTGTAGAAGAAAAATCATCTATTGTTATAAAGTACTCTATTCATTTAACAACAACAAGCATTAATTTATAACACATATACCTACTTTATTTTTATTCGAGTGATAACGACACCGAATAAGTACGTACTTATTCAAAAGATAAAACTTTATTTTCAATATTATATTAGAACTTAATTTTTATTCGGTGCAATCATCGGCCCAAAAAAGATGACGCATCTCTGGCAGCCATTATCACGCTTCTTTTAAAACGAACTGACGTAACACGCGTTTTGTTTATTTTAAAGGGATGAATTTGCAAAAGCTCAATATGGTGATTATATTGCTTCAATTTTTTTTTAAATATGTAACTGTTATTAAATGAATTGCCGCGTTACTTACCATAAATTAAAATATAAAATATAACACATTTTTCGCGATGTACCGTAAGGTTTTACGGTGTTTATAGGTACCCCAGACAATATTATTTAAGAAACAAAAAACAAAACATATGTGCTGACCTAGAAGTGTGAATAATATCAATATTGAAATATTGTTATCACATCTAAATTGAGATTCTGTAAGTTACGCTTTTTGACACACGGCTCATATCTGAAGCTCATTGTCCGTTTTTCTCAATCGATTTGGCACATACTATATATCTAATAATAGATTTCTCTAAAAAAATTATAGACTGGTAGCCTATTACCAGTCTATAACCTTTGTTTTCCAACGATTTTCACATCTAGAAGCCCATTGTCACTGCAGTTTACTTATTCATTGGACTACTTATTACGAAATTGGACCTTTAACATGACTCCTTAGACGACTTTGAGCTTTCTGGTAAATTTCAAGGTTTTACAACCAGAACTTGTCCTAATAATTTTAAATTTATTATAGCGTTAAGTCTATTATTCTTCTAAGTTAGGCTAAGCTTTATTTATACGCATATTTTGTTTGTGAAAGTAAGGTAAGGCCTTTATTACGTCCCACAGTTGGGGTCAGACCTCCTCTAATTTCAAAGAGGTTATGGAGTGATTTTTCCGCTTCGCTGCTTTAATGCATGTTGTCAACTTCGACTTTTTAGACGAATTCACATGACATCAAAAAAAATTTTTTTTACATGCGGATTTTCATACGTTTTCCGGTGATCGAACCCGCGCTTCTCTCGTATATTAACGCAACGGACATTTTGTTTGCACTTTCCTTAAATTAAAAAAAATGTTGTTATATGTACTATTAACCTTTTATTAATCCAAGGCTTTTTTTTCCTTTTTTATTTATTTATCGTGTACACTTCGTTTGACTATAGCAAAGTGCTGATCATACATATGACAATAGACCGTAATCTTTTTTCCTGAATTCAAAAAAAGGAGGTTCTCAATTCGACTGTATTTTTATGTGTATTACCTCAGAGCTGAATTTGAATTGAATTGCATTGAATTTGAATTTGATGATTCTTTTTTGTTTGAAATCTGGTGCTTCTCATGTGGTCCCATACAAATTTGATCAAGATTATTAGTTTGTGAGTTATACTTATTAATGCGTATATAGTTGACTTCGACTACATTGAAATGTTCTCATTTTATTTATAAGAAGTCGTTTGCGCAAAATTTTTAATTTTACCACTTGTTCTCATCATATAACACAATAATAACAAAGTCATATAAGAATTGCGTTTTTGTTAAATTAATTATTTGTGTGTGTTACAAATGTTGAATTCTACAAGCTATACAACATCGTACAATAAATTAGCATTTTTGCTGTTTTTATGATAGTTGTCTTTCTTTCTTCTCTCATCATCATCATTACAGCCCTTCACAAGTCCACTGCTGCACATAGGCCTCCCCCAAGTAATGCCACAAAGCACGGTCCTGAGCCACCTGCATCCATCGACTTCCTGCATGTCTTACCAGGTCGTCACTCCATCTAGTAGGGGGTCGCCCTACACTACACCTACCGGTACGAGGCTGCCACTCGAGAACCTTCCTTCCCCATCTGTGATTGGTTCTTCGAGCTATAGGGCCGGCCCATTGCCACTTCAACTTACTAATCCGTTGGGCTATGTCGGTCACTCTGGTTTTACTGCGGATATTCTCATTTCTGAGTCTATCACGCAGAGGAACTCCGAGCATAGCCCTCTCCATAGCTCGCTGAGCGACCTTGAGCGTCCTCATACGGCCAGCAGTGAAGGACCACGTCTCCGATCCGTAATTCATCACTGGCAACACGCACTAGTTGTACAATCTAGTTTTCAGAGTTTGAGGTATACCTGACGAGAAGATGTGTCGTAATTTCCCGAACGCTGCCCAGCCGAGTTGAATCCGTCGATTGACCTCTCGGTCGAAGTTGGACTTACCTAGTCGGACTATTTGTGCCAGGTAAACGTACTCGTCAACAACTTCGAGCTTAGTGCTCTCAACTACTACCGGCATAGGTGTGACATGGATTTTGTCCATGTTCATCTTAAGACCTATCAGTTGGGAGGCACTATTGAGGTCATTGAGCATAGTGCTTAAGTCCTACAACGATTCTGCCATAAGGACTATATCGTCGGCAAATCGAAGGTGAGTGATGTACTCGCCATTGATGTTAATACCATATCCTTTCCAGTAGCTTGAAAACATCTTCCAATCCATCGGTGAAGAGTTTCGGGGATATAACGTCACCCTGTCTTACACCTCTCTGTAGTTGGATAGGTTTTGAACTCTGATTCTGTACTCGGATAGCCATTGTAGCCCTACTGTACAAACACTTCAGCACTTCGATATACCGACAGTCAACTTGGCACCGCTGAAGGGACTGTAGCACCGCCCAAATTTCGACGGAATCAAAGGCTTTCTCATAGTCCACATACGCCAGGCAAAGTGGCAGATTGTACTCTTCGGTCTTCTGTACAATCTGTATATGGTACTGAAGCCTTTTTGGAAGCCGGCTTGTTCGGGAGGCTGGAAGTCGTCGAGTCTGCATGCGAGACGATTCGTAACGACTCTCGAAAACAGCACGTAGACGCGGCTCAGAAGGGAAATCGGTCTGTAATTCTTCAAGAGAGCGTTGTCGCCTTTCTTGAAGAACAAGAGCACCGCACTTCTGTGCCACACCTCCGGAGTAGTGCTACCATGGAGGACGGAATTGAAGAGCTTCTGAAGGACTTTAAGTACCGGTGTTCCACCCGCTTTCAGAAGTTTCCGTCCGTTTTAAGGTGCTGGAGAGCCATTCTAATCTCGCTCAGACTGACGTCCGGGATATCATCAGAATAGTGCCGCATAAGACTTGCTCTTGGATCGTTACTCACACTTGCGTGTGGCTCCAATGATGATGTATACAGCTGCCCATAGAACCTCTTAATCTCACTTTAAATCTCAGGTGTCCCGGAAACGATGCTGCCACACTCAGTCTTCAGTTTTGACAGTTGGCTCTTTCTGGCGGACAGATCTCTGGCAAAGACTTTGGAGCCCTGGTTCCGCTCGATCGCTTCTTTAATACGGGCAGTATTAAAGTTGCGTAAGTCTCGCCGCATGCATTTGGAGATCTGTCTGTTCAGTTGCCTGTATGCTGTCAAATCTGTTGACGATTGCAGCCTCATCTCCCGTCTAACAGCCATGAGATTAAGAGTGTTATCGAATAGTTTTTGTGTTCTTCTGCGGCGGGTCTTGCAGAACTTAGCTCCGACCGCATGGACAGTTTCCACGAGCTTATCATTCATATCGTCCACTGCATTGCAATCTTCTAGGCACTGAAAGCGGTTACGTAACTCGAGCTGAAAGGTTTCGGGATTCTGGATTAGAGCACGAGGTGGACGGAGCGTTGACTTCATTAGACGAGACCTCTCCAACTCAACGTTTAGGTTCAGTGTGCCTCTAACCATTCGGTGATCGCTGCCAGTTTTCACCCTTGCGATCACTGAGACATCACTGAACAGTTGGAGTCTGGTCGTCATAATGAAGTCAATCTCATTTTTGTCGAACCGTCGGGGCTCGACCAGGTCCACTTTCTGTGGGGCCGCTTCTGGAAGAAAGATTTCATCATAAAAAGTCCCTTTTTCTCCATGAAGTCGGCCAGCTGCTGGTCCCTTGGGTTCCGTTGCCCTATCCCAAATTTCCCTACCTTCAGCTCACCGTTCTTTCTTGTGCCCAGTTTTGCGTTGAAGTCTCCCATTAACACCGTATAGTGAGTTTTGGAGGAATGCATGGCTCTAGAAATATCCTCATACATATCATTGATGCAGATGCAGATTCGGTACGCAAATCACAGTAACATTATTATATGCTATGTCCGTTGTTACTCTATAAAAACATGGTCCTTCTCCGGTCGAGCCATTCGTGCTGCTACTATAATAGAGCTACCGTGCGTCTCTACTACGTTTAATCGTAATATCACAGCATAATAACAGCTAATTTTCAGGTTTTTGAGATTTTTACTGGCATTCGATACTTTAACGAGCATGAGTAAGTGTATTTACATTTTATATTTGATAAGCACAATTGTTATTTTTTACTAGTTATATAGTCAAAAAATTTTGTACGCTATTCTCAGTATCAAATTTTGGGTGGTCGATGGCGTTGGTTGCACTATTACAAATATTATATTGTTACGAGCTTGGGGTTCGTGACAATAAAAACTGCCGATTGATTCATCAAAATTAACACTTTAATTACAGAACACCAATTACATCTTAAAACATACTAATAATAACACACACTTGTACTACTTATCACTTTAGTTCGCAGTTGTATCCGTTCGAAGTATTCGCTTGGATCGCCAATTCAATACTGACTCAGTTGCGGTCCTTACCGGCTTTTTATACGGTCTCTTCTACTGAAACATCTAGAATGTTCGAGTACATACCAGTCCCGACCGACTAGATGTAAAAAGTTCTAGTATGGAATTTTCTAGAAAAATCTTGACTCTCCAGTTCCGCTACTAAATACTAGATGGCGCGAGTGATAACTCACCATGTACCAGGCATTAATTATGGCGCGCAATAATATTTTAGCTTAGATTATAAATAAGCAAGTTACTTATGAATGTTTTTTTTTTAATTTTGTTTAATAAATATAGTATAAACTGTCTATTGATCCTATTTTAAAAAGGACCGAACCGCTACCGCTTCTTTAGATAAAACAACGAGTCGCATTTATCTGGGGCCTACAACCACTATTCGGTCGGATGAAACAGAGGAGTACCAGAATGAAGTGTAAGCATATTAGGCATGAAACACCACAACCCTTTTTAAATTTACATGGGTACGTAAATTAAATTTACGTACCCATGTAAATAAAACTATAAAACCTATAAAATTGCTAAAGGAATAAAGTAAGAATCTACTTTAGAACGGTACAAGTCAAGTGCAGAATATAAAGGTTATTTAGTATCATACTCGTATATACATACTTGACTCCATATCGCAGAATGAATTCCGAGCTGTACTCTTCGACTGTTGTCCACGAGTCATTGCTGTCTTCTGAAGGACTCATGAGCTCGTCATCATCGACTTCACTGCCTAAAAAGTTAAGTAATATGAAATTAAAGAGAAGAAATACTAAGTAATAGAATAAGGACTTATAAAAATAATACTTAAATCCTAGTTGCCTTGTTTATTTTTACCTAGGTAAAGGGAATAATTTCGATCCGGTAAGAAAAAGTGTGCGTACATGATTTTGCGTTACGCAAAAAGTATGACGACAGGGGTACATTTGATGTACAATAAAGGCAGAAACTTAGTTCTTTTAGTTCTACTTGAATTCAACATCAAAAAGGGCTATTATGGAGTATTATGCACGCAGGTTATAGAGAAAAGAGCGAAGAGCCCCTTTACTCTGCGTCCGCATTCACTCTTTGTTCTATATCCTTCTCATGTTTACCATACTAATTACACAAACGCACATCCTAATTACACAAACTCATCAATCATTCCCAACTACCCATTTATTCTCATTTCCCATGTCGTTTAACATTTTTCTCTTAAAAAACCATCACTTGCATCTTAATTGCGTTCACTTTCATTCCCCGTTCTATTAATGGTATGTTAGTTAAAGTAACCATCATTAGCAACTTGCCTTCCGACTCCCCCACTCTTAACCCACATTCTTCGACTTTCAAAGTTTCCAAACAACTGCCCATTAACTGATTGAACACCCATGGAGAAGTTATACAAGCCTGTGGATAACAAACCAGTCAGTGTATGCCCCGTTGAGTCTGACACAAACACTGGATTCAACGTTTGCCATTAAACAACGCTGCCTACTGCGTCATAGGCCTTTTTCAAGTCTAAAAATACACAGAAAACTTTCTGGTAGTTTTCAGTCCTGCTGTGAGCCTGTGACCCTTTTCCCTTATACATTGGGAACATAATACGTAGTTATTTACCAATTTCCTAGTACTCGCTTTCCGGCATAAATTAAAGAAATTAAAGTTATACCACAGTAAAACCACTTCTGTTTTTACTACGGTTATACAGCATGCTTGCCACTACCAGTATAGTAATTACGCTATATATTAGAGTTGGCAACGTCTTGGCAAGGAGGTAGAGGCGATTTATGAGGATAATAGGAGGATGATGACAAGGAGATATGTCTAGAGTCATGCTTTCTTCTTGACCCCGCTGTACTTTGTAGATGGGAGACTACAATGCAAATCTAAGCACATATAGAAGGGTGAGTGTAGGTAGGAAAATTTGGAATAGAGCAAAGGAAACCAAGGGGCCAACAGGTTGACTTTATGGGGGAGGAACTTTTCATGATGTACTCTTTTATCCAGAAGCGACCCCATATAAAGTGTACTTGGATCAACCCCAACGGTTCAACGAAAAACGAGTACGACTACATTATGACAACTGGTAAGTGATATCTCAGTGATCAACGAAAATGACTTTACAATTATTTGTAGGCCATACAAACACCTATAGAATCCGCGGCCCTGCATCGTTGCAGCCGAACATTTAGCCACTCCACCATCCAGCCAGCCATCAAACTGGTAGCGACCAGTGATTACCGAATTGTAAGGCACACTGAACCTTAAAGTTAAATTGCAAGACTCGCGTGTAATAAGCAACTCAATGCTCCGTCTAAAACTTTTAGCTCAAACTACACAATTGTTTGCTGTATCTAGAACATAGCACAGACGATTTAATTGTCAAGCTAGTGGGAACTGTTCATGTGGTAGGCGGTAACTTTTGGAAAACCCGTCGCAGGAGATGAGATTTGTACGTGGTAGAGCCACGCTGGAGCTATCTTATGATTGTAGTACGAATGGGTCGGCTCGACAGGGGAAGGACTACGCTCCCACAGAATACCAGCGTAAAAAAGCAGTTCAATACTGCTGTGTTTCGTATGCTGAGTGTAGAGAATCGCAAACCCTTTTTATTGGATACAAGGTATTCCATCTTAGTTCCCAGGGGTGACAACGCATCTGCATTTTGATATCGTATCATGACGCATCTACTTAAAGTCCTTCAGAAGCTTATGGCGGCACTGTCATCGCACTACAAGCGAAACGAACCGAAGCCTAAATCACGCTATTGAAGTTCTGTGATCTCTTCTTTTTTTCCACTACTAATATTTTTTTCAATTCTGTTCCCATAAAGACGTAGAGCAGAAGTGCGGTGGTCCTGCTCTTCAAAAAAGGCAAATAAACTCTACCAAAGAAGTCCAGACTGCTTGTCCTTCGGAGTCACGACAATGTGCTGTTTTCGATAATCATAACGAATCACCTCGCACTTCGTTATGACCATTTTAAACAGCAGGCGCCCTAAGATACTGTCGTCCTCGTCTGTCTGCTGGCTTTAGCTGTCACCGAAATCTCTCAAAAGCTTCGCAGTATGATGGAACACCATACTGTGGGGAAGTTATTGAACAAATTATCATAAAGGATAAATGTGTAATGTAATGATGACACTGCCAAAAGTACAACAGTACAAGTCCATTGCCAAAAGAAAAAAATACTTGGAAGTCCTGTCCCATCGAAGCTTTCATCGAGTATAATACCATCTACGTATCCCATAGTTGTAAGTGATAGTGAAAGACGAAACTTTTTTACCTACCTGTAGGTGTGCTACTACGAACTGATGGAGTCTTTGGTGCAGAAAGTAGTCGGCGGCGCACATCTACAGCTGGTGGTAAACTTTGAAATTCCCGCCTTGACGCTTCCGTAAAAAATCGTAACACATAGCTCAAAGGAATACATGCCGGTTGAGAAGCTTCTTTTTGTTCAATGACTGCGGGATCATAATCTAAAAAGAGATAATTTCTTTAAACTTTCGAACAAATATTTCATCTGATTATTTTATGGTAGCTTTATACTTGATAAAAAACGTAAGTACGTACAAAGTTTAATATTATGAATAGTAATAAACAATACCGTACAATAATATGATAAATAACGTTACTTCTTCGATTAAATAATAATCTAATATCTAATCTAAATCGAATAATAACTACTAAGCCACTTGCACAATAAAAATAATATAAAATAATAAACTATATAATTTCTAACACGATATGATTCCCGCACTAATTTAAATGTGTTTGAGATAATATTATCCAATGTTGACAACTTTGACATATTGATAAGACATTACTTTAGTACAATAGGGAGGGTCAAAGTAAATTTTATATGCAATAAATACGCAACGAAAACCAATATTTGAATAAATAAATACTATTTACCAATGTGCACGTCTTCGATGTGTTCAATTAAATCTGCTAGTCGTGGAAACGTGATACCACAGCCATTGAATTTACAGATGTTTATCATGAAGACGGCCATGTCGTACGGCGATTAAAGCACTAGTCAATGGTATAACTATACTACTGCAACCACCAGTAATTTTGTTTGTTTAAAAATAATATCTTGGCATAATGCCTCAAACTGAACATCATATAAAAAATCAAGTAATTAAATACTGAATGTTATTTTTCCATTTCTTAAAGTATTATATTTCTTAAATTAAAAGTATCTAATACTGCTGTCACTTACTACAAATAATCAATAGTTGGCTGCTCTAAGCGGAACTAGTGCGTCTTGCGCATTTCAACCAATAGGAGTACGACATTTTTACTCTGTTCCAATTCGCCACTCAGAAATTGAACATTCCAAAGGCCGGTCTCCTCCTTTTCGGTGTTCTTTGGTAAGTCTCGAGAAGTTGCGAAAATTTAATCGTAGGAAAGTGTTAATATCGCAGGAAATCATTGAATAAAAAGTGCTTCAATCTGTCTATTTTGGCATTCCGTGGGTAATGGTGCTAATATTTTTTGACGAAATTATTAGTTGTCAGTAATCTTTTGAGATATAAGTTAGGCCCCGGAATCGGCCATTTTCCATCGTTGCGGATTACGTTACTCGCTTTTTTTTTCATTTAAAATTAGTGTTTAGTGATACTAAAATCAATATTCGTAATAAGTATTGTAGATATAGTTTAGTTCTGCCTCAGTCTCTGTTACGTAGTCCCTACAATTACGTAACGAATCGTCGATCAAACTGTCAAGTCTCACTCAAAGCCGCCTGGAAGAACAACAATTCTCATCTTGTCCATCGATTTTTCAGAAGTCGCTCGCCGCACCCCATAAAAACAAAAATGCTGTCTGCTGCCAGATTGATTGCCCCTGCAGCTAGGTCTGCTGTAAGTAACATTTCTTCTTCATATATGAGAAATTTTATCTAGGGCTTAACTTTACATAGATACTATTTTACTTACATAATATATTTTATAGAATTTAGTAATTGACTGATTTATATCGTTAAAGTAAAGTAAATTATGCAGTATTATTGATATTATCATTCTTGTTCAACTTATGGTGTATCAATAACCTATCGTCAATTATGTAACTCCGTAAACCTAAATTTTCTTCCAGTGTATTGTAATAGGATTATGTGTATGTTAGTAGGTAAATAACTAAAGTAGATTTATAAATTGATTTGATCATGATTAATTTTTAATTTTACAACTGATCTGTGAATACTGTCAATGTCAGTCACATACTATAATAACAATTTTATAAATTATATCCACATTTACAGATCTTCAGCAACACAGCTATTGTGAGGCCACTTGCTGCAGTGCCCACACAGTCACAGATTGTGCCAGCGGCACCAGCTCAGCTCTCTGCTGTCCGCACCTTCCAAACCACATCTGTGACCAAAGATATTGACTCAGCTGCTAAGTTTATTGGTGCTGGTGCAGCGACAGTAGGAGTAGCTGGTTCTGGTGAGTGATCTGTTTAATTTTACTGCATGTTATACAAACACTGTTTTTATAATATAAGGTTATCATTTTAAATCACCCTAATGAAGTAATGTAGTGTAAGTAGTAAGTGTGTTAAAGTAATTTATTATTTTATTAACATTTGTGGGTGGTTTGTTAGAAACACTGCATTACATGTTATAATATATATTATAATAGTTACCTTTTATATACCTCCGCTTTAACCAGATCTATTAACCTCTTCCCTGTCCTGTAAATCATATATTAACATATTAAATGCTTAACTATTTTCTATTTTTCGGACAGGGAAACTGTTAAGAGGCTTATATAACTGTACTATGATTGCATAACAGGAAGGTGAGGAAATATTGATTTTTTATATTACACTTCCTGCATTGCAGTTAAACATGTGATTATTATTGTCTGTGTTGCAAAGTTGTGAATCTTACTTTTTTCTTACTTAATTTTTTTAATACTTTATTATCTTTATACATGTATATCCAAAATTTGGACATTCTCATTTCAAGATAGATTTTGATTTGTTGAATTCAGTTTATTCATAGTTATATTTTCTTTTATATGTGGTGAAAAATCAAATTATGGATGAATTAGAAAAAAATTGTTTTAATGAAATGGTAGATTCACAAACTTGCTACGTAGATGTGGTAACATTCTTTCTATTCACTAAATTTTGTTACACCTACAGGTATTGGAATTGGTGTGGTATTTGGATGCTTAATTATTGGCTATGCACGAAATCCATCCTTGAAGCAACAAATCTTTTCTTATGCTATATTGGGATTTGCACTGTCGGAAGCTATGGGCCTATTTTGTTTAATGATAGCTTTTTTGATGCTATTCGCTTTCTAGTTTTAAATGTACAATGTATATTTTGTTTGCTTTTTATGGATCTATGCATTTGTTTAATTGAAGATCATTTAGGGGTGAGGTTGATTCTAATTATTTCGTAGCTAGGTTTATCTTTTGTACACATGTTAGTGATGCAATTTCAAATATTCAAAATCACTTAAGTCAATAACTTTTAATTTTATAACAAAATCAAAATGTCCATATTTAATGACCAAATTAGATAATAATCCCGGAGTATAATAATACACTTTATCAGTATAGGTATTAATTTCATTGTTTTCCAATCTTTTGTATAAATGGTGTTGAAAAGCTACTAATAACAACATAAAACATTAAACACTAATAAAAATATAGTTTTTTTTTTTTTGTGTAAAGCAATTATCTTAATATATATAAATTATGTGTCACATTGTTAGTCCGCGATGGACTCCTCAACTACTTAACAGATTTTAATCAAATTTGCACACCATTTGCAGTTTGGTCCAACTTGAGAGATAGGACAGTTTTTTTTGCCCAGTTTTTTTTTTTTTTTGCGAATTTAAGGATTTTTAATAGCACATGACAAATTGTCGTCGAAAAGGGCAGAACAATGTCTGCCTGGCAAGCTAGTTTTTTTTATAAAATTTAGATTTTTTATATGTATCTCTTGCTGTAACTAAAACCAACATCAAAAATGCTGAAATTTAAAATTTGTGGTACCTTTAATAATAATTTATTATGCATAAAGCAAGCTGACCTCTCTTCTTATTGTTCTTTTTTTCCCTTTGAATATGTGTCACATGATTACATGTGTAAGAATAAAATTAGTTGCATCACTAACATTTACTGTAATGACATATGTGTAAAATATTATTTTATATATCTATAACTAAAGCAGTATCTCAACTAGCCCCATTGAAGTTTTAAGGTTTTTACTCTCCATTTTTGTTAAATTAAAAAGATTTTCATTTATTTATAAATGTAAGTTTATTGACTTCAGTTCATTTAAATTTCAAAAAAAGGCCTAATTGACTAATTATAATAGCTTGTTGTTTTAACAGGGTGTAATATAATGGGGTTATTATAAATGGTGGGTGTTTGTCATAAAAATTCTATTACATATGTATTGCAGAAATGTTATCACTATAAAAAAAATCTTATTTTAATGTCAAATTCGAGTTACATAATCAAATACAAAACAAAACCACTGATCTCGAGAGTACACAGCGCGTGTGACTGACAGTATTGCAAAGCTTGCTTAAGGTCGATACACACACATCAGTATCAAGGCAGTTCCCATGCAATTGTGACCCGTCCGAAGCTACTGACCAAGCTGTGGCAAATTACCATAGCTCTATTAGCACTTAGTATTAAACTTTATGAATATGGTGCCTTTGGTGTGTGTGGTGCATTGGTGTGTTTTCTTTATTACTCCAACTGAAACTATTATGCTGGCACAGCCAATGACATGGGTGAAGAAGTTCATTTAAAATTTGTTTATTTATGTATATTTATTTTTTGATCATGGGCGGCGGTAGTCACTTAACATAAGGCATGCTTGTTTGCCCCCTCTTCTATAATAAAAAAAATGTAGATAAATTTTTGAGTCCCTGTTGGAATATGATACTGCATTTGATGTGTGTGAATCGATCTTTAGAGGACTTTTGTGGGACATGTCTATATGGAGTTTAGTTACTGCTTTAGCTATTACTATGATGTAGATTAGTAAATGAATATACAAAAGAATGATATATTTTATAATGTCTGAATTTTAATTACATTTTCAACATTGCAGGTGCGGGTATCGGAACAGTATTCGGTTCTCTCATCATCGGTTATGCCAGGAACCCCTCCCTCAAGCAGCAGCTGTTCTCATACGCCATCTTGGGTTTCGCCCTTTCAGAGGCTATGGGTCTCTTCTGTCTTATGATGGCCTTCTTGTTGCTGTTTGCTTTCTAAGCCAATTACTTTTAAGAACACTACTGCCATCCAACATAATGAGGTTTCAGTGTATACTATCCGGAGTGGACGGCCATGGAATCGACTGTGTGGAAACCTCGCCCTCATAGTGGTGTAAGGACTGTGTAATAGTGTTACACTTACCAGTGCGACATCAGGAATGCAATTTATTTAATTATGTAGTATAAAAATCTGCAAATAAAATGTTATATGTAAAACATTTGATCAACACTACAATTATTCCTATTCCTGATTAATGTAGAGTTATTACTTGAAATCATGTTATGGATAATCTCGCAGTATAATTGTTTAAAAGCCGGTGATAATAATGTAAGCCAGTAATTGCGTAATATGCGTGTAATTGTCATCGACTTCACACTCAATTAGCTGTTTGGGAATGTCGGCATCTGTATTGTACATTTTTAGGGCGATTAAATGATGCAACCAATGTTTTTGAGCATTTTACATTTTTTTTTTGTACAGTAGTAGTAGTTCACTTCACACAATTATTTTTGCTAATTTCCTTGGCTATGTTGTTAAAAAGAATGCAAGAAACTGGCCCCACTTGAGATGCTACAAACTGAATTGATAAAAAAGTCTCAGTCCACTTACATCATCTGTTACTCCAATCCATGTCCAGTGCTGAACAAAGATTTGTGGCTAAACCTAATATTTAAAAAAGTATTTATTATTTTATTAACAGTTATTGGGTCACATATTGTAACATAAACCAACTGATCTTGGAATACCTCGTTTT